CGGGCGCTGCCTGCCCGCCCTCGGAAAAGCAGTTTTTTATCTCAGAAGCATCGTCTGCAGTCTCCTGGCGGGAAAACCCCACAAGGCAGCGCGGGCACCTGTGCCGGTGGGGTGACGCAGTGTTTACAGCTACGTGGAGGTAATCAGCCAGCTGTCAGTAAACCCCGAGTGGGCACGCCACCGTCATTGCAAAAGTCGGTAGAATCTGTAGTGTTTATGAGTGGCGATTATTTATGCATCACACTTCACTGAGGAATTACTGTTAATGGCAAAAAGGACCAGTCCAGCGCGTTTCGGTAGAGGTTATTATGCGGCAGATGGTGGTCATCTGATGCTCTTCACGCTAAATTTAGGCAGAAATGTCCCACTTGCTAAGAGCAGAGAAGGCTGGGTTTTGAGTACGCAGTGGCACTGGATAAGATGTTACTGGGAGAACTAAATTTTTTCTGAAATTAGCGAACGGTAATTTTCTAGTCCTTGCTATTAGCCAATCAGACTAAATTCTACTAAAGCATTACTGCGAACACCAGATGCACAAGAAGAAAACCCACAAGTTCCAAAGTGAAAAAATTGAACTTTTTTTTTTTTAAGAAGAAACTGGATGTCTTCAGAACATCAAACATTTTTTTCTCTTTTTGCAGAGCTCTTGGAGCACAGTCATGTTACGTGACATGGGAAGAACTAGTAGCATGCATGTTCTTTAAGGGGAAGCTGTACAGTAAAACAAAAAAGCACTAGGATAAAATTGAATGTGGATGTGGACAATAATATCCACAAATAGGACAAGTGGAAAAAAAAAAAAAAAAACAACAAAAAAACAAAAAACAAACCAACAGTGTGTAACATTCATTGTGTTCATCCGGAGAAAGTTACATAAAACTTACGTATATTGGCAGCAGGGTGGTGTATTGTGGTGTTAGTTGAGCTAATACATCATTTCCACACATAAAATTACTATTTTTTCTTTTGACATTCTAATACTGTCTTCTCATAAAGAAAGCCAGAGGTTTTCTGTAAGACTGAGAGCATGAGGAACCATACAACCCCCTGTTCTATAAGCCGAAACAGGTCTGTGATGCTGCAGTCACCACTTGGATTTCAGTTAACGTGAATTACTTGAGGATGAAGTTAGTAGAAATTTAGTAGCAGACTGAAAATATTTTTCTTCTCATCACTCCAAAACTGTTATTTCAAATGGTTTTGGGAGCAGTATGCTACAAACGTATTGACATGAAGTGTTACTGCAGTTCCAAAAAGGTCTTGTTTCCAAGTATTTCTTTAAAAAAAAAAAAAAAACTAAGTAAATGAAATGCTTAATTTGGAGTAAAAGAGAAGAATGTAAGAGTAGTTGCTACTTTCCCCAGTTGTTAGAGTACCGTGTCTGAGGTGGCCAAGATTTGGTTTGGTGATCAGACTAGGATATCAAAGAATTCAGTTGTAGAAACAAGGAAGACCTAACCACACCTTCCTGAAAGCTTCAGACACCTCAACTGATGCAGCATAACTTTATTTAAAAAGCACATTTCTTTTAGTAGGAGAAAGCAAGTGTCATAGGGTAAGGGTATTAAAGTCTGAGCTGTGCTCATCTGATGGACACAGTTTTTCTCCAAATCGACTTTTAACTTAAACATACATCTGCCATCTGAATGATGAATGTATACCAAAAATAGTAAGTAGGTAGGAAGAAATGGCTTTGGATGAGGAAGACAGGAGGACTGATCTTTTATCTCATAACCTTTGTTATGAGATACCATGATCATGCAGTGACACCAACTCCAGAGATACGCATATTTACTTACCAAATAGCAAAATGTTCCTTATTCAAGATTGATAGGCTTGTTGGCAACTCATTGAAGCTAATAAATATAAAGAACATGTAACTCTACTCATGAGGAAAAATTAATTTGTATCACCTTCAGTATCCTGTACCTGTTATGATCCTTATCTACTTTTCTGAAGGGAAAAAAAAAAATAATTCTGGGGTTTTTTTAGATGCGTGGGTGGTACCTTGAAACATCATGGCTAATTCTTCTGAACTAATAGTTCAGACAGTAAGACACAAAGCAGAAGAAGATAGTCATATTTTATCACTAGCATTTCTGATAAGAGATCTGTGAAATATTGAAATAAGCTTAACCACTAGAGACCAAAAATGAGTTCCTTTAAGAATGTCATCAGTGTTTAATTTCCCTTCAACTGAAAAATGTATATGTTCAGTCACAAAACCCCCCCATATTTTTCTTTCTAAAAATTAAGCACAAGTCATTTTGTACATAAACATATGGTCCTCCTGCTTTATAATGTGATCTTTATGAAGCTGGTATAGGTGGCATATTGTTTTTCTCCAGCAACAGTGCGTTATTCTGAACTCCAGATAGAGATGACTGATGGTTTTGGAGTAATTCTGGAGTCTAGTCAATGGGTTCTACTGTTGATAATTAGCCCTATGCTGCAGCGATAATGATTTATAAGAATCTCTACAGTAGTTCTTGCTAGTTGGAAATTACGAAAACATCGTATTGGCCCTTGGTGTTACTCTAAAATGCTGTCCCTCTCTTCTTTTTTTCCCTAACTTAATTGCATGGCATTCATTTCTAAGATGTTTCACCCTTGTGTGCAGTCAGTTCTGGCCTGCACTTTCAAAAATGTCCATAAATTTGTGTTTAACAATTGATAAACTGCTCCAGGCAGAGCTGTTGCCAAAACCAGTTTATAATCCTGCTAGTGAACTGTGCATCCCTCCCATGCAAGGTAGATACTCCTGGTTCTCGAGGGTTCCCAAATCACAGCTGCTCCCCCATGGAAGGGCCTTGCTCCCCAGATCCAGAGTAACTCACCAGAAGCCAATGCTTTGTATAGCATTGGCTTTTTTTAGCGAACAGTTGAGCACTTCCAGAAATGCAATGGAAAGACAGGCACTGTCTGAAACCAGAGGAGAGCTGGAAGATAAAAATTTAAGGTCTCTTAGGGCAGAGATTCACAGTAATTTTGTCAACTGGTTTAAGGAGATTACCTTGCAATATCTTTCCTTGAAGTAGAGGGACAAAAGCTAGGAATGCTTCCTTGAATATATGCAGTTTGTTTCTGCAAATTTTGTGCCAAAGAATGCAGTAGCATTAAGTGCAGAGGCAAGACATCACTTATCGAAGCAGAGAAACACAGTTCAAAGGTGTAATGACACAAAGTTGTAGGAAACACCATAGCAAGCATTTCAGCATTATGTTGTTGGATACATAACAGCTGGTAACAACATCATAAAACACAGGAAGAATTATTCTTTTTCACCTTATTGTAGGAAAACCAGGTTTTACTTGGAAGCATTAGGACTGATGAGGTTTGTAAATGTCTCTGTCCCTTGTCCTAAACATTAGTGAACTACTTGCTTTGAGAGTAAACATGACATAAGGACTCACAGCCAGTCCTTATTTTGTTGTATAAAAGTGTATAGCCTGTTTTGTATTTGATTTTGCTTCTCATAGTCAGCTCGCACTGGTAAACAGTTAATGGTAAACAGTTGCCTGTGAGGGGTTTCTTCCAGTCCATGTTTTCATCTTGCAGATTGGGACAATGAATTGGTATGCTACAAAGAGTTAAATGACGATCTAACCTGCACCTGGCTGCCAGTACCCAGTGCTCCGAACACGGTTAATTATACCATATTCTTAAAATGGTAAGTCTAAAAGTAATTTCAGAAAATGTAAAGTTGTCATTCCAGTTCAGCATGCTTCCTACCTGACAGAGTTTTGCTCCAACATTTTGCATCACATTGTAGATTGTTACCAATACTGATCAAAATCTTTCTTCACATCTCATCACTACCTATTGATTTGGTAAGAGCTTGTACGAGTGTGGTGGGTTGACCCTGACTAAACACCAGGTGCCCATCAAAGCTGTTCTATCACTCCCCTCTCCTCAGCTGGACAGTAAAAGAGGAAATAGATGAAAGGCTTGTGGGTCGAGATAAGAACAGGAGAGCATTCAGCAATTACTGTCACAGGCAAAACAGGACAACTTGGGGAAAAAAAAAAAATATTACCAATCAAATCAGAGTAGAATAATGAGAAAACCAAATCTTAAACACCTTCCCCTCACTCCTACCTTCTTCTCAGGCTTAAATTCTTTCCCAATTTTCTACCTTATTCCGCCTGAGTAGTGCAGGGGGCAGGGTATGGGGGTTGTGGTCAGTTCATCACTGGTTGTCTCTGCCACTCCTTCTTCCTCAGGAGGAGGACTACTACAGTGTGGGGTCCCTCCCACGGGAGAGAGTGCTCCACAAACTGCTCCAGTGTGTGTCCCTCCCACGGGCTGCAGTCCTTCAGGAACAGGCTGCTCCAGCCTGGGTCCCCCGTGGGGTCACAAGTCCTGTCAGCAAACCTGCTCCAGCGTGGGCTCCTCTCACCACGGGGGCACAGGTCCTGCCAGGAGCCTGCTCCAGTGTGGGCTTCCCGCAGGGTCACAGCCTCCTCCAGGCATCCACCTGCTCTGAGTGGGGTCCCCAGGGGCTGCAGGTGGAGATCTGCTCCACCGTGGCCCTCCACGGGCTGCAGGGGCACAGCCTGCCCCACCGGGGGCTGCACCGGGGGCTGCAGGGGAGTCTCTGCTCTGGTGCCTGGAGCAACTCCTCACCCTCCTTCTTCACTGGCCTCGGTGTCTGCAGGGTTGTTCCTCTCACATATTCACACTCCTCTCTCTGGATGCAATTGCACAGTTTTTTTCCCCTTCTTAAATACAACAGAAGTGCTACCACAGTCACTAATGGGCTTGGCCTTGGCCAGTGGCAGGTCCACCTTGGAGCTGGCAGTCATTGGCCCTTTCAGACACAAGGGGAGCTTCTAGCAGCTTCTCACAGAAGCCACTCCTGTAGCCCCTCCCCCTACTAAAATCTTGTCACACAAACTCAATACAAAGAGTCATTATACATCTTTCCATGCCTCCAATGCACTGTTTGAGACACTGTTGCCAAAGATCACCATAACCAATTAGTTCTATTTGCATCTATTGACTTACATTGAAATTCAACACTAATGCATTCAAAGTAAAACAAACAAACAAACAAACAAACAATAGACACTAAGCTGGTTTTCCTGTACGTTATATATTATGCTATAGCATGTGTTCAAGGAGATGCCAGATAAGGCACATAAGAAAAATAGATTTTAATGTATTTTCTTGCAATTCTGAATTATCAAGTATTGATTTAATAGATGGAATGAATTTGTAGGGTTAATCTTAAACTGACCTTAAAATATGGGTATCTTCAATTGTGCCTTTTTTGAGAAATCTAAAACAAATAAGCCAGGTAAAATACAGATTGGCAGATTAAATCATCATCTGCCCATTGGTTTGTTAAAAAAAAAAAAATCAGGTAGACTCCTGTCTCAGTACCTACATTACAAAACGGATTCTTCTCATATTTGGGATCTCCCTTGAGATTAAGGGTATGTTTAGGAAGAGAGAAATGAGATCACAAGACATGATATTTGCCATGAGACCATATCAAGGGGTACACAGGGTACAACACACTATGCTGTTGGCAAATTCTGATACCCATTGCTGATTATTTTGCCACATAACCCACCACTCTGCATTAAAAAAGAGCTGTGGTTAGGAGCATCTCCTAAAGCTAAGGAAATGTCACTGCACTGGGAAATTCCCCAGTGTGATCTGCACATTGCAGATGGGAGCAAAGCAACCACCTCAGGGCTGAGGTTACTTTCCCCATCACCTTCAGTATTTTCTCACTGGAGATAACAGCAGGTGTTAACTTATAATAAACACCAAACCCCACTGCATTTAATGTCTTGCCTCTTGGGTCTTCCAGAAGCCCCGATTTCTTGGAAGGGGAGAAGTACCTGTGAAATGGCTCTGCTTCTGTAGACATGATGTCAGCTGAAGTATTTGTAAGCTAGTTGTTCTTAGTCTCAGCCAAAATCAGACTGTGCTGTTCCTAGGCTGCAGTGTTGATGTTATGAACAGAGAAGGCAGAAAAAAGAGTGAAAAAGGAGGTGGATGGGTGACCGGGGAGGCAATTGCAATTGCAATGTTGATTTTTCCCAAGACAGAGACAGCACTTGAACCTCAGTCTCCAAGGATTCAACCCAGTGGTCTTAAAGGAAAACTTCCTTTCTCGTTTTTTACTGGGTTAGAGGAAAACAAAAAACACTTGAAAGGGCTTTTTTCTTGCCTGGAAGATGACATCACCCCTTTCTGCAAGTAACATCAGTTTGACATTGAAGTTGATCCTTATCCTTGCTCCTTTTGATTTAGTTGTCAGGGAGAAAAGGATTAAAGATAAATACTCCCACAGAGAAGTTCCATCCAAGCATTTGAAATCATGCTTTGAAATACTAATGGCTGATTCACAGCTAGTCTGAAGTAGAAGATTGAGGACCCTTCAAGTGGTTTAGTTCAGTTTTTAAATGTTGTATCATGATCAGCATCAGCACATTTAATACTTGAAACTTGTAGGTAGGCAATTAGTATGTCAGCCCATTTCTTTAAGAACATTGAACTGGCACAGTTTTAACATAGAAAAAAATCTGTTCCTTTTGTGGCAAAGAATAAATGAGAGAGAAGATGGGGAAAAAAATAGGCAGAACAGGAACAGCCTGCTATGCAAGGCCTTACACCTCCTGGACATTCTGTGCTGTATGCATTAGGTATACTAGAAAAAGTCTGCAGGGCTGAGGACTGAGGTGATATTTAGACATCTCTATCAAACTTTGCTTTGGAAGAACAAAAGTCAGAAGACAGGCATATAAATTGTAAGAGGTTTTCCATACCTTTGTGGTATTTTAGATTCAAGTATCTAGGAAATTTTGCTGTTCAAAAGGAATTTAGGTTCCCCTATGGCAGGTGGCAAGTAGACTTTATGACATAATTTCTAACCCAGTTTTATACCTTCTAAATGCTCTTTATATCCCACTGTAAGTACAAAAGAATGTCATAAGGATTTTGTCTTTTATCATGCTGTGCCTTACAAGTTTAAGAAATTTAACAGTTCTCTACCACACAACAAGGATTTGCATATTTAAATTTGGTAGAGTTACTACGGTAGTGGAATTACACTTGCTCTTTCTAGATGCTCAGGCCTCACCTTCAAGATTTCAAGATACTGAATTTTGTATATAGGTACCTGGAAAACTACCAATTGCTGTAATGATGCTTTCTGGAGCAGGGAGATGAACGAATAATTATAATACAATAAAATGCTTGGTTTTCATTCTGCTTCCTTTTCTCTGAAGGGACAGAATACCAAAACTTTTTCAACGCAACACATCATCATCCTCCATCACAATAGGAAGAAGGAATCTCTACATGAAGCGATCTGCAGCTATTTGGATAGCAGTGAATTACGCCCATGACAGCTGTGTGAAAGGAAAGAACATTTCAGTTATACCAAGTGAAGCAGGTACAGTTCTTCACAAGTTGTGTTACTGCACTGCCCATCTGAAACAGTGGTAGCACTTTCTTCAAAGATTATTTCCAGATTTGTTGTTCCCAATATGCACTTGTTATTTTTACTGATTCGGAGAGCTAAGCTGCAGTTTGTCTTCCTTGGATGAAATCTTTACTTAAGTCAATAACAGAAGTTTGTCAGCTTTTATGGAAGAAGTGTTTTGCTTTAAATAATTTGCTAAACTGTAAAATAGTCATATTCAGAAAAGTATGTAGTGATAATTGTGCACAGTACTTAACCAGTTTCCTGTGCCCTCTTTGACCATTTTCTGAAGAACTTTACTGGTTTATAAGGAGCAGGTTGGCTCAGTATCATGTACTTAAGGAATCCTTGTTAGCTTTAGAGTTTTGAGAAACCTTTTCAAAGTTCAGCTCTTTCCGAAGGCCACTTACCCATTACACAATGCCTGCACGTGAGATATGAAAAAAGAAATTCTATTAACTATGTCCTTTAGATGGATGTTTATTTAAAGATTCCTTGCAGTGTATGATCACTGAGATAACTTTAAGAGCTTCCCAAACTTCACCTTCTCAAAGTAATCATGGTCCAAGAAAAAACAGTGCTTCTTGCTGCTGGGGGGCACTACCAGTACAACCCAAATTATCAGTATGACCTCCTCTGGAGACTTCTGGCCATCTTGTGTTTATTGGAGGGAAAGACAAAAATGAATTTGCACTTACGGTTATATAGCTAAACACAGTTACTGAAACTGGAAGACATTCTGGACATTTTTTATACAATTCACAATTATAGGTCATCTTGACATTTTTATTTTGCCTTTCAGACTCATTCAGAATAGCACCTGCTTAGAAAAAGGGTCTTCTTGAAATCAGTAGAAGCATTCACAAAAGAAAAACAAGAGGAACAACCCTATTTTGTCAATACCATCAAGATTTAGTAATTGTTTGCAATCTTTTTAAAGTCTTTCATTGTTCAGTATTGTGCCAAGTCTTTTATTTTTTATAAAACCACACCTGACAGACATAATTACCACAGCTTTCCTGCTTCTTTTGCATCTATAACAGCCGCATGTTCCAATTTTAGGCAAGTGTTTGACACCATCTAACATAAATGCTCATCAGATCACAAAACAATTGATAATAAAGTGGGACCTGCCTGCAATTCCTACACCATATGAGCTGAGGTACAGAGAAGCACTCACAGAATCTACTCAGTGGACGCTGGTAAGTACTTCCATGTGACAATCACTTGAGAACATGAGGTGCCTTACTATCAGCTCAGTGGTACATAGCACATATGACAGGACACCAACAGGATGCTACAGAAAAGAACACACAAGATGGATAGCAAGGAGGCACAGCACAAAGACAGTTTGTAGGCAAATCTCACAAAGGTCTCAGTTTTGTTCCAACAGATCCTAAGCTGTTTGGGAAAGAAAGATTAGTAGTTTTATACAGAAAAAAAGCAGAATGGCATGTCAGTTGGTTCATTAACCCTCCAATGAGACAGTACAACATCAGCGATTCAAAAGATAAAGAAGATATCAGAAATGCCATACAAACTCAAATCCTGGTAACACTTTAAGTGATGGGCAATATTAATCTTTTTGCTAGTACCATTAGATTTTCAGTCTGATTAGAGATCATCTTGCCGTGATTTTTAAGGTAACCATTCATACACTTTTGTATCAGTTTTCCAGATTTCCTTCTTTGGCAAGAAGAGAAATAATTTCTCTGTCATACAAGATAACTTACAGATGCATTTTAGGATGTGCAACGGTGATAATATGGTGCAGCAAGAGGACAGTACCTTAAATTAAAGGAACTAAGAAAGAGGTGGAAAATCATAATTCCAGTAAGATCTGCATGCATTCGTCCCCTTGCCAACCAGCATACCATGAAAAGGCGTTGCCAGCAGGCATGCACATACACATGATTTGTATCACTGAGTCCCTGAAACTGTCTGTATTTCAAGCTCTGTTTTCTGTAGTTGGATGAAGAATATGTGCTTATCAGGTAGAACAGAACTCCAAGAAGAAAACTGTCTAAAAAAACCCTGTTCCCACTTCTTAAGCATCTGTGCTCTCCTGTGAGTGTCTTTGCTGCTTTCGTAGCACCGGAATCTCCCACATTCTTCCCTTTATATCAGAAGACCTATGCTATTTTTTCCATTTCTCTCATAGCTGGCTGCCACTTTTGTTTAGCTACTTCAGAAGCAGTACTATGAGTGTCCCATGTAAGGTTTCATCTCAGTACAAGGAACATGCAAGTCTTGAAAGGGTCCCCTTGTTCATTGACGTACAAGTCCTAGACCATTCTAGGACAGCCAGATACCCAAACATACTCCACCCAGTAGTGCAATAGATAGATAATCCTGTTCAGACAGTCTGGTACACAACATGTGGAAGAGCAGAGAGTTTAGAGCAGTAAAAATGCATGTCCTACAGTTCTGGAGACAGAGGAGGTAGATAGGAGATTCAAGTTAGTAATGTAGAGGATTTGTAAAGACAGCCATACTGCGTGGTGAGAATGGCCAAGTACTGAAAGATTACAGGTAATGAATGTTCATTATTTCCCATGTCCCAGCTGATCCTGTGAACTTAGGCTGCAAACTCTTCATAAAATGAATCTAGGCTGCATTTTTGTAGGCTTGCTTATTGGATGAGGGAGAGGTTGTGGATGTAGTTTACCTTGACTTCAGGGAGGTCTTTGACACCATTTCCCACAGCATTCTCCTGACAAAACTGTCTGCTCCTGCCTTGGATGGGCACACGCTTCACTGGGTAAAAAACTGTCTGGACAACTGGGCCCAAAGAGTTGTGGTGAACGGAGTTAAATCCAGCTGGTGGCCGGTTACGAGTTGTGTCTCCCAGGGCTCTGTTTTGGGGCCACTCCTGTTTAACATCTTTATTGATGATCTAGACAAGGGGATCGAGTGCACCCTCAGTCCGTTTGCAGATGACACCAGGTTGGGTGGGAGTGTTGATCTGCTCGAGGGTGGGGAGGCTCTGCAGAGAGACCTGGACAGGCTGGAGCCATGGGCTGAGGCCAACTGCAGGAGTTTCACTAAGGGCAAATGCCGGGGGCTGCCCTTGGGCCACAACAACCCCCAGCAGCGCTACAGGCTTGGGGAGGAGTGGCTGGAGAGCTGCCAGTCAGAGAGGGACCTGGGGGTGTTGATTGACAGCCAGCTGAACAGGAGCCAGCAGTGTGCCCAGGGGGCCAAGAAGGCCAATGGCATCCTGGCTTGTGTCAGCAATAGCTTGGCCAGCAGGGACAGGGAAGGGATCTGACCCCTGGACTCGGCACTGGGGAGGCTGCACCTCGATTCCTGTGTTCAGTTTTGGGTCCCTCACTCCAAAAAGGACATTGAATGACTCGAGCGTGTCCAGAGAAGGGCAGCAAAGCTGGTATAGGGTTTGGAGCACAGGTCGTACGGGGAGTGGCTGAGGGAACTGGGGGTGTTTAGTCTGGAGAAGAGGAGGCTGAGGGGAGACCTCATCACCCTCTACAGCTACCTGAAAGGGGATTGTAGAGAGATGGGGATGAGTCTCTTTAACCAAGTAACAAGTGATAGGACAAGAGGGAATGGCCTCAAGTTGCACCAGGGAAGGTTTAGACTAGATGTCAGGAAGCATTTCTTTCCAGAAGGGGTTGTTAGGCGTTGGAATGGGCTGCCCAGGGAGGTGGAGGTGTTAAGAGTCGGGTCGATTTAGCGCTGAGGGATATGGTGTAGTTGGGAAGTGTCAGTGTTAGGTTAATGGTTGGACTAGATGATCTTCAAGGTCCTTTCCAACCTAGATGATTCTGTGATTCATCTGCAGATGGGACTGAAGGGAGAGGGTGAGTGTGGGCATGCAAGCACAGAGGCTATATAAAGCTAGCTGAGAAATAATGTTTATCAAGAATAGAATTAATGTAGATGTAATGTAATTTAACACTTGAGTCTTAAATTGATTTCACTTCCATGTTGTTCTGTCAGAGGCTGGGAGTGTTTCTGTAATATTGTGTGTTGTGGGGGTTTTTTGTAACTAAGCTAGCTTATTAGCAAAAGTATAGAAAGTTAATTAATTAACTTCAGTTAAAAAAAAAAAGCACTGAAGAAAACCAAAGAGAAGAACTGGTCACTTAAAAGTGAGGGATTTGAGTGGGGTTTTGTTGGTTTTGTTTTGTTGATTTGTTTCTTTTTTAGGAAATATATATAATTAAGAAAAAACTTTACAGGAGACAAATGCTAAAACAAATATTTCAATCTGAAATAGCACTTCTACCAAAAACATCGTAACACCTGGAAGTAACCAGACCAAAAGTCCATTTAATGCATGATATTGTGCTCCAAAAGCAGCCTCAAATAGATTTCTGGGGAAGGGTGTAAAATAGTTCAAGCATATAGCAACAATTTTCTATCATATATTCTTGTCCAGTTTTCAGTGTAGGGATTTCCTTAGACACAGGTGTCTTTGTTTCAAGACAATCTCCATTCCTTACACAGTTGCTGGAGCTCCAGTGCCATCATCAGCTGCACATACACATTACTTCTGTGGTGCTAAGGCACAGGCAGCCCCACATTCAGTCCAGCCACGCTCCTTACATCAATCACATGGACCTATTTAGACATACTGTAACTTTTGAGAATAAGGAGATTTTTTTAAAAAAAATATATTTAATTTGACGTTGATGTTCTTCAGAATGCCAACAAAGCTCAGAGTAATGTGATTATTTTTCAGTATATACTGCCTAATTGATTTTAAAAGCGATATGTAGACCTAAAGTGTTGCTTACGTGTCCTGACTAAGCAGAACAAGTTCATGAAAGAGAGGGTATTTTCTTGAAAGAATGAGAAGACATTGGCTAAAATATGTAGTAATTTTTCTTTGATGGCAGGAGCCTCTACTCCCAGCTGCAATCAGAAGACTGGTCCTTGACTGAGAAAACAGTTAACTTATGATTACATTTTATTGCTGCCACATAAATTAAATTTCGTTTGGTTTTAGGTGCCTGTAGAAAGCAATGCTGTCAATGTCACCATTTCGAACTTAAATGCTATGACTTCATACATTGTTCAGCTCAGATGCATAGCCAGTGATGGTCTCCACTGTGTTTGTGTTTGGAGTAAAGAGGTTTTGGTCCCTCACAGTAAGTGAAATACAGTTTTGTCCTACTGGGAATAAGCATCAAAGTAAAAGCTTTTTCAAATGTTGTATCATATGAAATAGCATTTTCAGATACTGTTGAAAATATGAAGATCATACTGATTCAAATGAGTGCATGTGTCCATCTTTTTCCACATTTACCAGAACTCATGAACAGGCCAAGAATATCATATAATGCAACTACTGAAATCTCTCCAGGCAGAAGAAGTGTTCTTCTGAAGTGGGAGGTAACATTCACTTTGAGTCTGCATACCTTCTGTTATGTCTGTGCTATTAATTTATTATTTTATAGTAAAAAATATTTTCTCATTGTATTGAGAATACACTGTGTAAGCAAAAGATATTAAATACTGTACTCTTGCTTCAGGATTCACTGCATTTGTACAGTGGTGTTTTATGTGCTAGAAACTAGCAAGGAAATTCTACACCAATTTATGAACTTGAAAAATTAAGTGAAACAGCAACCTCTGGGCTCAAAATCTTTGACTAGAATAAATTTTCTTTACAGTTTACATTAAAAATTGGTGTGTGTCATGTTTGTCTCTTACAATTGAGCTTTTCTTGACAGATCCTCATAAATCTTTAGCACATACTAGTGACACACCTTGTGTCTCATGAGTTCCTAAGGAGCATTCATACTCTCAAGAGACTAGAAAGTTTTAGAAAAGCTTGGTAAATCTGCTACTAATTTACTAACTCAGAAGTGCAAACACATTATAATCAAGATGGAAAAAGAGCCTCTGGCTTACAAGAACAGCATCTAGCTGCATGCTTCCCATAATGACATTTAAAGTTCAAACCTACACATCCGAGGCATCCCCTCTTCTGCATCAGGAGCCATTGTCAGCTGACCAACTACAGCAGATCAGTCAGTTTTACCAGCTGAAGGTCTCTTGGTAAGAAATGCGAACTGACAGTCTTGAATGTATAGTCGAGGGGCCCACAGACAATTTCAATGAGCAAGTTGTTACTAAAGGTGTTTGCATGGAAACTAACTGATTCTATCTACATTCTGAGAGAAAGAGCATCTACAAACCCCAAGAAGTTTGCTATAGAGGACAACCCTGGCAGAAAGGACAGAGACCATCAGAGTTTTGAAATATAGAAGAGGTGGAAAGTTTTCTAGTTACCATGCATTTTTGTTAAGAGAAACAAAAGACAAGAGAGGGTTTTTTTTAGTTAAAAAAAAAAAAAAAAAGTAATATTAAATATAGTATCAGGGCTAGGACCTTCATTCAGGGTAACACGCTAGTCTTATATGAAGTAGGGTTCAAGTCCAGATGGCTTCAACAAATATTGAAGGGACAAAGAGAGGAGTGCACTTAATAATTAATATGTTAAATGTAGATGAAAAAAAAAAAAAACGTCTCTGCTGCCATAGTGTGGGCTGATCTGAAACAAAGAAAACATCTTAAAGATGTTAGAGGCTAGCCATAGCTCCTCTGCTTTTGCTAACATTCAGTAACCTCTACATGGTTTCAATCAACAGTCACAAGAGAGCTGGCTTCAGCTCTCAACACCCAACCAGGCAACATGGATGGCTTTCATGGCTGCAGATAACACAGTCCTCCTGCAGGACTGCACAAGATAGAACAGTGCTAGCCTTTTCTAGTCTCATTTTGCCAAACTAAGAAAGCTAAACTCTGCTAGTTTCTTCTTGTACTATAGACCACATATTTCACATATCTTAGGAATTATTTTTCCTACACAGAAACCTTTTCCAGTTTCAAAGCCTGGTAAAAGAACCATAACACTATCCCAGCAGCTTTACCAGAGCTTCCCTTCCTATCCTGGGTAAAACATTTGTTTCCATTTTAAGAGCTTCCAGCTTTACCAGAAATTCCTCTCAACACATGTGCCTCTCTGCCTTTTAAATTACTGAATGTCATCCTATCTATGTTAATCCAAAAGTATCCAATTATTTCATTAAGATAACCCAATCTCCCAGTTTTGTCATATCTTCACATTATTTATTAAGTGCCAAGAAAGAGCAGACAAGCTTGATATCAGAAGTAAACCTTGCAGAATTTGCAGGCCTTTGTGTATTGAGTTCAACTTCTATCTAGATAGCAGTAATTTCCATTTCTGGGCACTCATTTTCCAGTCTCTCATGAAGATTGTTAAAATAATGAGTGAACCATCACCACCTTAAAAATATGCATCAATGGATATATAACATGTTCTAAAGTTGTAGTATAATTACTAGTGTTTATCCTCAAAGAGACCAGATGCTTAACAGAGCCTAGAAGATGAAGATTCCCAGGGGCGTAAATTGCGACTAAACACCTCTCATTAACTTTCAAGTTCCTAATTATGAGGGGTATGTTCCTGTGAAATGTAGAGAACGTTACAACTGCTTCACTGCTGTTATCACTAATTGGATACACATAACTAAGATCTCAGTTAAGCAAAATACTTAATCCTGTGCTTAAATCCTCTCAGTTTAAGCATGCTCTTAATTTTAAGGAAATGCTTTGCTTCATTAATTCCTAACAACCTACTTAAAATAGTGTGAATTTATCCCCATCATTAAAAGTGATATTTTGTTTATACAATTTAATTCCTCTTGAATTTCTGCACAGGACGTAATAACATTTATAGTATACTAATCTGTTTTCTCTTACTAGGTAACACAAAGTGAGAACATCCTTGGATATTATGTGAATGTGGAAAGAATACCCAACAGTTGCATGAATTCATCAGATCGCATCTTTCTAAAGGATAGAAAAGTTCTTCTAAATGTCTCCATGGCTTGTTATAGGGTAAATATTTCTGCCTATAACAAAGCAGGAGAATCTCCACAAGCCATCTACATTGTCCCAGACTTCTCTGCAACAGGTACTTACCATACACTCATTAGAGCAGTGGAGAATTTTTATGAGCAATCTGTAGGCTACCTTTTGCCAGCCTTTGGGGTAGGGTTAAGCATGCTCTTGAATATTTATTAGGCTGATATTTTCGCATAGTGAGAGTCAGTATTGTTTCTTAACAATGGATTGCAATAGAAGGTAACTAACAGATGAAGGAATTTAAGATTCCATTTAGAACTTCTTGTTTTCTCAATCTAGAGAAATAATTGTGTGCTAAATCACAGAATGACAGAATTGTCTAGGTTGGAAAAGACCTTGAAGATCATCTAGTCCAACCATTAACCTAACACTGACACTTCCCAACTACGCCATATCCCTAAGTACTATGTCGATCTGACTCTTAAACCCCTCCAGGGATGGGGACTCCACCACCTCCCTGGGCAGCCCATTCCAACACCTAACAACCCATTCTGGAAAGAAATGCTTCCTAATATCCAGTCTGAACCTTCCCTGGCACTACTTGAGGCCATTACCTCTTGTGCCATTGCTTGTTACTTGGTTAAAGAGGCTCATCCCCAGCTCTCTGCACCCTCCTTTCAGGGAGCTGTAGAGGGTGATGAGGTCTCCCCTCAGCCTCCTCTTCTCCAGACTAAACCCCCCCAGTTCCCTCAGCCGCTCCCCGTACGACCTGTGCTCCAGACCCTGCACCAGCTTTGCTGCCCTTCTCTGGACACGCTCGAGTCATTCAATGTCCTTTTTGTAGTGAGGGGCCCAAAACTGAACACAGGAATCGAGGGGCAGCCTCACCAGTGCCGAGTACAGATCTACCTATCCAAAGGTCTTTTGGAGAGTACTCAGAGCTAAGTATATGCCAGCAGTTTAAACAGAATTATGTGAAATCTAACATTTCACATAAGGTACATAGTATTCATAATTCACAGAATTATGTGCAAATCTAAGGTTTTTGGGCTAAGTAACTATTAAGAGACCTGCTGCTGTCCTCTATTTCAGTATTACCCCCACTGGCACACAGGAGGAGGAATAGATAAGATGTACATGTCATATTCCAATGAAGATGTAAGTTTTTGTGATGCCTAAATACAGTTTCTTCATTTAAACAATAAAACTACTTTATAACATTTTTCTTATAATAGAAGAATACTTGTTTCGTTTGTTATAATCTTGAGGTATAATTATTACAGTATAAGAAAAACCTCTCTCTTCTGAAGTAAGATTTTTTTAATTAAACTATAGCATGCACAAGTAAACAAGTGCGCAAGTACCCTTGTTGATTGCCAGACAGCTGCAACTAATTGGTTTTCCACGATTTGGTAATGCACTCCCCTCATTCCATTTTCCTGTGCCCTGCAAAGACTTAATAACTTGGTTTTGGTCTTACATTTGACTGCTTTACCTCTGTTCTGATGAAATCTACGCTATCACCTCAGGCCATCTTTTGAGTGACAGCTACTTGTTTACTGAATCTCTCAACTTGTTCTTCATGGCTCTCTCCAGACATGTGTTTCAGATTTGGTTGTACTTCAATGCCAGTTCTCTGTATCTAACATGAATTACTTGTAACATACTTGTGCTAAGTGCATTCCCAAGACAAATTCCTTCTCAGCATGCACAATTTTTCCTCAGACAGTACAGCCATTTTCTATACTTTGACTTTATTATATTGGCTTTGAGACGAGAGAGGAAATGGAGAATTTTGTCTGTCTGTCACAAGATCCGCTTCTTAACACAAAATGACATGTTGCTTTTCTCCCCCCTTAGTCTGAGTCAAAAGGTCTTTCTTGGTTTGTTAATATCTCTCTAAAAATGTCAAAATGTTTAAGATCCTTGCAAAAAAATTCAAAGTATATGAGATATGAAATTATATAGCTATAAATGAGTGGTGTTCCTCAGGGGTCATTATTAGGACTGGAGTTGTTCAACATCTTTGTTGGAGAACTGGACAGTGGGATTGAGGCACCCTCAGCAAGTTTGCTGATGACACCAAGCTGAGTGGTGCAGTCAACATGCTGGAGGGAAGGGATGGCATCCAGAGGGACCCGGACACGCTTGAGAGGTGGGCACATGCAAACCTCATGAAGTTCAACAAGGCTCAGTGCAAGGACCTGCACATGGGTCAGGGCAATCCCATGCACAAATACAGGCTGAGTGATGAGCGAGTTGAGAGCAGCCCAGCAGAGAAGGACTTGGGGTATTAGTGAATTAAAAACTATGGGCCAACAATGTGCACTTCCAGCCCAGGAAGCCATATGTATCCAGGGCTGCATCAAGAGACATGTGGCCAGCAGGTCGAGGGAGCATCCTGGAGTGCTGTGTTCAGCTCCGGGGCCTCCAACATAAGAAGAACATGAACCTGCTCAAGCATGTCCAGAGGAGGCCACAAAAATTATCAGAGGGCTGGAGCACCTCTCCTGTGAGGACAGGCTGAGAGAGTTGGGGTTGTTCTGCCTGGAGAAGAGAAGGCTCTAAAGAGACCTTACAGCAGCCTTCCAGTACTTAAAGAAGGGGGCCTACAGGGAAGATGGGGAGGGACTCTTTAACAGGTAGTGTAATGACAGGACAAGGAGTAATGGTTTTAAACTGAAAGAGGTTAGATTTAGATTAGCTATTAGGAATAAATTCTTTCCTGAGAGTGGTAAGACACTGGAAGAGGTTGCCCTGTTGCCTACAGAGAAGCTGTGGCTGCCCCCTCCCTGGCAGTGTTCAGGGCCAGGTTGGACAGGGCTTTGAGCAACCTGGTCTAGTGGAAGGTGTCCCTGCCCATGGCAGGGTCTTGAAACTAAATGATCTTCAAGGTGTCTTCCAACCCGAACCATTCTATGATGATTCTATGAATCCTTCCCCTCTCCCAATAAGCACTATCTCACAGTTGCTCTATGTATAGCAGCTAATAGCAGCTTATAGGATGTTATTTAGCAACATCAGGCTTCTTGTTCTTGAGGACTGGGACAGCCATTTCCCCTTTTCCAACTGTGGGAAATTAAAGGTCATGAACAGCAATTAACAATGGAGCTCCCAAAGACATTGCAAAGTACTAGATGCTAAGTTTCCTTTATTGACATACTAGTATAAACCTTACTATATACTGGTCACCACCAATGATAACTAGTCAATGAATAATTTTTGAAAAAAAACAGAAGAGAAAAAGCAAGCAAAGGAGAAGAAAACTGCTTTTCTGTTTATTGATCTCTAATGGTATATTTGTTCACAGACTTGCCTGGCCAAATCCATGTCAAACACCAGGGAAGTAATGCAGTTGTCACCTGGACTCCAGAATACAATCCAAAATGTTTTGTGGTTGACTGGGGCTCTGGTAAAGAGGATATGCACATGAAAATAGTAACTACAGCTACTGGAAATTTCACCCTAGGTAACAACCATCACATCTACTTATGGAGACACCATTTCATTTATTGGTTATTTTTGGTTGGGGACGGTAGCAGTTTCATCTTGGTTTTAAGAGCAAACTGAAGATCTAGATAAATGCAACTCTTACCTTTGTCCAGCACTGAAACATCATCTAATTTTTAGCAACAGCAAGGCAAATAAAACACAGAACTTTTGGTAGGATTATTCCGGTCACAGTTGGGCAAGAAATGCAGCAAAGTTGCAGTTACTAGTATGATGTGTCTCCTTGCCCACATTGTAGGCAGATCGATATACTACTGTCTATTAAAAATATCTTTTTCAATTGTCCCTAGGTAAACTAAATATAAACTGCTCTGTTAAGTCCTCCTTAGATTATTTTTTAAATCCCAATGGCTGCCCTCGTCGAAGCCTAAATTCTCAACTCCAGTATTCTACTTACCAAGCTAGGCATGATGAGCAGCAGCCAGGGATCACTTTATGGGACAGCCATCAAAAATCTTGATTAAAATCATATGGGTGACTCCTGCAAAGGCCATTCAGGACTGGCTTTTGTGTACAGTAGAGGACATTTAGCTTTAGGGTTCTATAAATGAATACACATTTTTCCTGGGTCCTTCTGCAACATCTAGTTGTTTTGCTTGTTTTTAAATATACTAGCTGAGGGGGAAGTATCTGTCTGTGAACTAAGATATCTACAACCATTTTATTTCCCTACTTCTCCTTTAGCAGCTCAAGCCTTCCAGAGGGAGGGTATAAGCGATCAGGCATATTTTAAAAAAAAATCCTGTGTTATGTCTTGTTCTGCTTTTGAAATAGCTTGTATTAAGCATCTAGAGGCAATGAAGAAGGATGCATATATTTTATACTGAGTGTAAAGCACTGTAAACTTGTACTGTGCTTTGAGTCTCAGAAAGTAAGAACTATATAGAAAAGCTATGAAGTCGTTGTCTCTCCTCCACTTCTTTATCATTTATAACTTTTCAGTAAAACCTGATGTACCTTTATTTGTTTTCCAGACAATTGTCAGCCATATAAGTTGTACAAAATAATGATACATGCATCTGATGTGTGTCAGTGTGAAAGTTTCACAAGACATGAAAAGACTTTTGGAGTGACCCACTTTTACTCAGTTGAAGGAGGTATTCCTCCCCTTTATATAACCTCATCCCTTGTATTTCTTCTTGTTTCCTATCTGCAGCAGCAACAGGAATACTACACAAAGTTTCTTTTCCAGGTGATTTAGCAGCATTTTCCAGTGAGCATTGCCTTTGGTCCTAGCAGTTATTCGGTGACAATGAATAACCTGAATGTTGTTCCTTACTGACAGGTCCACAGAAATATTATTATTACACATGATGTTACCAAAATAACAGAAAGAGGGTCTCAGAATTAATACTCTGAACTCAAATTTAGCTGTGGTCAAAGTCAGATTTTCCAGTCCCAAATCATTAGTGTCATATATTTCAATTTGAAATGAGTACAGCTATGGCTATTGGAGTAAAAGTGTTTGTAATGAGACAGTCACAATTTCTCCTACTTTGGTATTGCTTAAGATTGTATTTTTTTTTTTTACTCTATGGGATTTCTCCTTTCTATTCCACCCTTTATGTTATGACAGCTAAAATCAGGCAAGGAGCTCTCTAGGATGAAGCTAGGTTTCAGTCTTGTATGTCTATTGCAAATTTGATGCAGAGCTTAAATTATTGTCTGATTTTTAAGTTCCTAGGACAGGTCCTGCTAATGTGACAGTTCTGAATATCACAAAGCATTCTGCACTTGTGAAGTGGACCGAAATAGCTGCTGAAGACCGTTTGGGATTTCTCCAGGGGTACAGGATCAGCTACACAGATTCATCAGGGAAGAAGTCTCTGGGTAAGTCACCTTGGTGAGAACAAAGCAGCAGCTCAGAGCCATGACAGGAAAGCTCCAACAGCCCATGAAGTGCTGTCGCAGCACACTACTTATTTACTTATAGATTTCTGTGGGAATTGAGCACTCTCAAAGGTCAGCTCCTGGTTAGAGGTTTACTGCTCTAGACGGTCCTATGAATACCTAGAATTTTCTAGACAGCATCTCAAATTAATTGTTGATAAGAAAATATTTCTTTAAAGCTTACAGTTCTAAGACTACTGCAGAATTCTCTATTAACACTGAAAGGAAGATGTACACTCAGTATATATTGTTCAGTCACAATACTATGTTTCATTGCAGCTCAGCCAAGTTTGACTCTGAGCCTTCCTACAGGACTTAAGAATTTATATAGTTCTTTTTTGAACTCAATTAGCAGGGAATGTAGTTTGTATTTCTTACCTGCTTTCAAAGACACTATTATTAATTCCATTTTTAGAAATATTTTTTTAAATTGCTAGCTGTTATGTTTTACTGCAAAGGATGAAACTTCTATACACTGAAATAAATTAATGGTTGTGAGCTCAAACCACATGAGTTTTCAAAAAAGATCCCCATACTTCTTTGGTAAACATTTTTATTCTGGTCTATAGTAGAAAGTCTTGCGATAAACAATAATACATTAACTTTGCACATACTGACCTTCAAATAAAATTAAATACTTACTATGGAAGACAAATAGCACCTAAAACCCAACAAAGAATTCAAAGGGTTCTCTAATTTATGCTGGCCTATGCCTTTACAGAACCATAAGAAACAACAAAAGCTTCAAGAAGACTCATTAATTAGCAGGAAGTTTGGCATTGTCTTCCTTCAGAGGCTCTATTCCACACCAAATACCTATCAGAAAGTCTAGAGGAGACAGAAGGGGAATGTCCAAAACTGAACTTAATTTATTTTTTTTTCCCTCTGCCCTAAGCAGTCAGTACAACAATGACAGGACACCTGATTGCCATGTTTTCCAGGCAGGAAGAATATTATTGGAGAAATTGGGGGAAGGAAGCCCGTAGGCTGCAGCACCATTTCCACTTCTATGAAGATTTTAAATTCACAGTGGCAAACTTGAAAAGTAATTTCTGCCCGGTTAAAGGCATACTATAGCATTTCTGGTTGCATTATTCTGGCAACCAGCTAGAAATGTGGAAAGTCACTGCACCCATCAGAAAAGAAAAGTTGAGCTGAAAGCCCTACAAAGCAGTGGAAGCAGAATTCAGAGCCCCTTTTCCTGGCTATGCATTACTGAATTATGAGTACTCGCACTGGTATTAATCCAGGTGAATAACTACTGACTACTGTAGTGAGGGTAAACCACGTAATAGTCTAGTCCTCATGTCAGCTGTTACAGACAAGATGAAAACCACTGTTCAGTGTGTCAGGTGTATTTTCCTGTCCCACAGTATACACAGCCTTATGCACTCACCACCTAAACATCCTTGGTGTGTTAAGAACTCATGCTTTTTACCTCTGGACTTAAAATGTATGTCAAGTATTTTTGAGAAATCTTGTACCCATCCAAAGAACACTTGCACAGTGTGGCTTCCTCCAGGTGTGGATTAGGGCACTTTCCCCAGTCAGCTACACTGATACAGATTCAGACATAAGAGTTCGTCTAGTCGTGTCCTTCCCCAACTCTTCTTGCATTTCAGCTGTTACTCTCAATTCTTCTACAACAAGTTACCATCTTACTGGACTGAAGGAAAAAAACATCTACTGTGTGCAGATTTCAGGATTCACTAATGCTGGCGAAGGACCTCTGACTCTTTCAGAACCTTTCAGCACTCCAAAATATGGTACTGTAGAAGTTCTGTGCATCTGTGTTAACCATCATCAATCCTTGCTTTATGTACTATATATGAGATTATCATCTACCCTTTCCTGCCTTTCAAGGAGTAACAAAGTGCTCATGCACAAGATTTATTATTTAATCCTTAGTTACTGGTAGCAAACACACAATTTTTTTTCCTTTGTTAGAGCTGTATCACTGAACAACTCTGCCTGCATTTCATTACCTAGCAGGCAGAGAAGACTTAGCTAGGGTTCCTCATCTCTGAAACATTTTCTGTCCTTTTTTGCTAGCTATATGCACGTATCTTTCTTTATTGCCAATTTCTGTCATAGATTTCAGTAGTTTTCTGCCTTTGACTGGTTAAGCTCAGTAGTCTCTACCCTTGGCATGTAAAACTGGTTTCCAGTTAGACTCCTGATCCATTAACTGTAAAAAAAGAGAAAAGTCTATTTCAATTGCTCCTATTGTGAGTGACAGTTAATCAAAGTATCCTTTGTCTCCTAATAATTCAAGTACATTTTATGTAACAGGTCCTATAGTTAGCTAGCAAAAGTTGGCTTTTTTCAAAGGTGCCTGGATAGACTAAGAAGATCAAGTTGTGCCAGGGAAAGTTCAGGCTAGATATTAGGGAGCATTTCTTTCCAGAAGGGGTTGTTAGGCGTTGGAATGGGCTGCCCAGGGAGGTGGTGGAGTCTCCATCCCTGGAGGTGTTCGAGAGTAGGGTCGACTTAGAGCTTAAGGATTTTCTGTAGGTGGGAACTGTGCTAGGCGAACGGTTGGACTAAATGATCTTCAGGGTCCTTTCCAACCTAGATGATTCTGTGATCAACGCTGTTACATTTATAGTCTCATATAGTGTAATCATATAGGGTTGGCTAAACACGGCGTCTCAAACATTTTTAACACCTTTAAGTTAAACTAAATCTAACACTGCAGTAGACTATTTTTTGTTTTGACCACAGCTTCACTCAACTGAAGCTTTCTAAAATTAAAAAATCAAAGGACAGGATAAGATGTCAGCCACAGGAAAAGTAACCTGTGAAATTCAGAGGCAGAAGTATGCAAACGGCTTCTCCCCACTACAACTTTTTTGTGTTAAGTGAAGGAGTTATAAACACAAACAACTGAATATTGAAAAGTGTGAAGCAGAAAGAAAAAGGAAAGAAATTAAAAATCTTCCTTGAAATCAACAGGGTTTCCACGCCCTCTTCCACCCCACTGAAATTATTTCTCATGTCAACACAAGAAATTAAAGTGTCTCCACTGGAACTCTTCCGCAGAACTTTATTCCATGCATCCTACTGAACATATATTTGGATAGGTTTCAATTTTTAAGGGAAATAACAAAGATGCAGAGTTAATTTAATGAAACATTTTAAAAATTCAGGTAATTACATTGGATTTAAACATTACATTTACTATTTCCCCCCTCCCCAATGTTTCACAGGTTACTTAATCCATTAGAACTTCAGATTTCTTTGTCATAAAAGCCTTTTTCGGCAACAAAGCAATCGGCAGCTTTTCAAATATCTTTTTAAAGCAAATTTAAGTAGCTGATTTTAAAAAATATTTTTGTTGGTGAGTGGGTAGGAAGGGAAAAAGGAAGTAGCCTTTTTGCAAATATGGTTTGTCAGTATCAGCAACACAATCGTGTACTGACCACACTTTCCTGGCACTATTTTGAAAATTTTCATTTAGAATCTGTAAAGAACACCTCAACCCCAACCCACTCTTAACATCACAGGCTGCTATGGTTCCTGTCTTAGCAGCACTGCTCTCACTGCCTGAGCACTTTATCGACCTTCATTAACCTTTCAAGAACTTTATCTCCTTCAGGGGGGTGGTGGGAAGCATCTTGAGCAGGTATTAACATAGGCAACAGGAGATGCAGGTTCACAGCAAGGGTTGAAAAATGGCTGACTGCAGATAAAATTGTCCAAATGTTCATTAACCAGTGAAGCATGACAACTACCAAAACCACAAACCATATTATTGTTATTAGGATTGGGTGCAATCTCATTTAAAAAAACAACAACAACCAACCAACCAACCAAACAAACAAAAAAAACAAAAAAACAAAACCCTATTAGCAAAACCTGAAATAGATTAAAAGCCACTTAAAAATAATTTCTTATGAAGTCAGTCCTGACCCATTGAACAAGCTAGAGCTCACGTAGTAGGATGGGGAGTAGGAATACCTCTTTTATTCTAAAGTATTTATCTTTGGATGGTGGATTTAAGATTTCAGCACCTATATCCAGATATCTTAAAAATACAAACCTGAAAGCTTTAAACCACTCCGGAAATCCCAGTCTTGTTTTAACTCTATTTCATTTACAGGAATCCCAGAACATGAGTAAAATTTGACTTGGCTTCTGTTTGAAATATTTCTCTTGTGGAGGCAACATAACCTCTCTATACTTGAAATCATAAATCTGATTCAATCTCTTTGTTTCCTATCAGATAAAGGAGAATTTGAAGGGTTTGTGACTTGCCTTTGCTTTAGCATGATGTTCGTTCTGGTTTTTGCACCTCTCACTTGTTCTCTGGTGCTTAAAAGGTAAGAATGGAATATCGGCTGAAGTTAGCAGCACTTCCATTTTGCTTAACCCTGAGTTTTATAGCACTGGGCCTTTTTTTGTCATTAAAAGGAACACAACTCATAAAGCATACAACACAAAAGCTATCCCACTCATTTACACAGAGCAATTACAAACCATAATAAGCTTATTAAAATTTTTTGTAAGAAATCTATAATCTTTTGCTACAGTTATGTGACAACCAGCTGTCTTAAACACCCTTGAAAAGAGCAAGGACTATTTTTCACAGTGGAAAATAGGTTATATATATGGAAAAAGCATGCATTTGATTATTTTGGTCTTTTATTCCCAACTGATAATCATGTCTTTTCTGTTGAAACACAAAAATACATTTCAGTAGCATGCAGAAACTGATGTTGCAATCTAAACAGTTTCCTGCAAGCATATTTGGATGTTAACTGTATAAATTATGCACATAGGCACATAATGAGAGGGAGTAATGCATGGATGAGTGGAAAGAAGATAAAATAACAAGGGCACCTGAAAGATATAGGTAAGGTCTTCTTATTTTAGGAGAAATTGTTCTCTGCGGTAATAAAATACACCCCCCTTAAATTAATCTGAGGTGCAATATTGGGGGCATACACTATCACTAAAAGAAAAATTACGTGCAGAGTAATGGATTCTAATACTAATTTTCTGATAACCTAGTTGCATACATCCATTTATATTACCATTTTGATGTCCTAGAACACTACCCTCCCTTTTTCTCCTTTTTACAAAGCACTAGCCTCAGAAGCTGAAAGGACAGCTTCTGAAGGACAGAACAGACAAATGGTACAACCCATGGCTGTGCAGCATGACATAGCTCACTTCAGGTTATGCATCAGGCTAAATTCCTGCTCTTGCTGTTGGGAAACAGACCACATGCCACATTAAGTCTCCTGTGAGTTTCCTTTTCAGATTTTACTGTAAGTTGCTCTGGATCTGATCCGGCTTTGCTGACAAGGATTTGTAAGACCTATACAGAAGTTCTGACCTAGAGCAAGCTTCATTGTGTTAAACATAAGATCATATGTCATTGTCTGGGGTAATTAGGAAAGAATTTTTGCAAAACTAAAAAAACAGCACACAAAACCCCAGTGCAGCACTACAGAATAGCAATTAAGTATATAGTAGTATTGAACACCTGAGATGAAGGGTCCCAACAAACCAATCATCTCAATTCCATCCTTGATTTGTAAAAAAAGTCTCTCTCACCAGCCAAACACCCATCTTCATAAGATCAGGAAGGAGATCCAATAACTCTACAGCCTCAGACTTCACCTCAAACCACAGTCTAAACAGAGGCAAAGTACCTTACAGCTAATGAAGTCTAGATTTCGTTTGAAAATTAGACAACACTGAAGCCAACACAAAGGCAGGGTCATGGGCTACATAGTCTCCCACTGTCTCCCACAGCTGTGTTGAGCATTTTTCCTATGGAGGTGATTCATTGCCCAAACCTCACAGAGAAGTGCTCTTGAGGGCAGCTGCTGACAGAGAGATGATCAGCTCAAAAATGCTGAGAGATGGTCTCTCTCCATTCCCACAGGAGCCAGTGAGAAGCAGTCAGGGGTGACCAAGACCAGTGGGATCAGTCAGCTCAGCAGAAACTCATTTTGAAATTTCCATCCCACCCCACTGCTACCCCTCTGCAGGGAAATGATAGCTGGCACCTGCTAGTCCAGGGCCAGCACCAGCATCCCAGAGTGGTGGGAGTGATACTCAGGGCAACTTTACAGCCTGTCCTCTCCAGAAGGGCCAGGGAAGACAACGCCTGAGGTGGTGCCCATGGTGGGAGTGGCCCAGAGAGGCTGGAGAGCGTAGCAGCTTGTTGCCAGTTTTGTTATTTCTGAGCCTCTGGATGCAAGGAAAAAAACTGAAAAAAAAGGGCACTGATGAGAGGTCTATGGACGACCAGCTGGCTGAAACTCATTTGAACAGCTCAATTCACAGACTCGGCTCTACCTTATAAACCCCTTCCTCTACAGCAGAAGCAGCTGGTGTATATTTTTAGTAAAGGTGTATTCAGGTTCATGTCAGGTGAAACATGAGATACTGTATGTAATAGCTCCCAGAAAGAGCCAAATTCAAACAATCAAGCAAGAGCAGAAGCTGTGCTGTCCTCCCATTCTTGTTTCTGGTCCCAGGGAGAGCCCCTTCCAGGCCACCAGTGTCCTTGCACTGAAGCTAAAACCAGCAGTAGCTTGCTCTTTGCTTGAGAGAAAGTAAACTTCTAAGTAGAAGCCCAGGAGCAAATACTTACTAAAACAAACTTCATCCTATATGTCCAAGAGTCCTCAAGGAAGATGGAGGTTTTGTGGAAATGATAGTAATTTAGGAATACACAATGATTAAACATAAAATAGACAACATTACTCACCAGCTCCTGTCACAGCTCCTTTGTCCTTAAAGAAAGATGCTAATCGTCACTAACTCAGCATTTCAGTGTAGACTACCAAGTTTGGTCTTCAGTTTTTAATTGCATTATGCTTAATAGTCATTGCAGAATGTCTTGTTTTGATGGTCAATAAAATGTTTTGTATAAATGATAGTTAATTTAAATGCATAGGAAATGTCAGTCATTTAACCTAACAATAAATTTAGAATATTTCTTTACAGGCTGAAAATATCATGCTGGCCCAGTGTACCAAGTCCAAGAAACAGCAGTGTACTCCAAGATATGGCAAGTACTCTACTTACGATGTGAAAAAATATATAAGGGAGATCCTACCAGTTCATCAGTAATACTAGTTTTTAGTCTTTTCACACTTCACCCTAGTAAATGTCGAATATCAGCAGTTGGGAAACTAGGGTAATATTAGAAATATAGGATGGGGGAGGGTTGTTGTTTATCCAGAGGCTGTGTACATTTTTTAATTTAATAAAGGTTCTCAGACTTTTTTTGAGAACATTATAGAGTGTATTTAAAGGTATGGTTGTTAAAAGAACAAAGCAAAGTTGAATGGGAGGAGATGGAGTCTAAAGAGAGAAATCCAGTTTTTATATCTAGTCAGTTTTCATCAGCTGGAACTGATTACTAAGTACAAGTTATTCAAAACGCAAAATAACGTATCATGGCCTAATTCTCCAGGAGTCTCATGACGGACGCCATGTATATGATGTTTCCTGAAACTCTTGGATTGCCAAGATTTCAAAGAACACCATACACATTTCCAAGCCAGAACAAAAATTCTAAGAAGAAATAAAATAAAAATCAATGCACACATATTTTTTTTTCTTGCAAAAGAGCCATAACAGTTTAAACAAATTTAGAGCAACTGAGGAGAAAGAAAAAAAAAGCTCATAGTTATACCAGAGAACATATCAGCCTGGCTGCAAACCCAGTAGAACAATCTAAGTGGAAAAGAAGGATGCTTGGTGTCACAAACTGTTCTCCATTTAATCATGTAGAATTTGCAAAAACTTGTAACCCAAGGTATGCTTAGATCACAACCTGTTATTAAGTTGAATAACAAACTGCTTGCAGCAGCTGATAGCTAAAGCCTGTTTGGATGCTGTTCAATTCAAGCCGCTGCCTTTCTTATAGTAACACACTTGTTAACTTTTGAAAGCTGTGGGTCTCAGAACAGCACATTGCAAAGCCTACGTTTTATCACCACTACATTTTGTCCCAGGCACACATAAAAGCAAGAAAAACTTTGCTTAAATACTGTGGGAGAGGAGAAGATGGTCCTCTCAATTACGGAAATAAGTATTTTCATTCATGTTTCTAGAACCAATTAAGATGAGATAAAATGGATTAGTTAGCATATAATACAGGCAGGTCCAGGCTGCCTGTCTCCTGGCTTTATTCTTTTGTTATTTATTTTAGCAAATTGCCAATTGCACTTTGCAAAAGTAGGATAGTAAAATTATTCTTTCTCCTTGTTTTGTCTTGCAGACTAATTGGAAACCTGTTTCAAGGTCACTGCTTCAGGCCCTGTCAGACAATGATACCATCAGCCTTTATGTCATAGAGCATGAGTCAAAGACTACTTTGAAGCTGGACCTCTTTACAGATGGTGGAGAAGACAGCAAATGTGACCCTTGCCAGTCAGAAGAACCTAGCAATAACATAGACATAAGCCTTAGGCATGAAGAAATCCCTGAAGAAGCAGTTACAAGTGAAGAAGAAGGAATAATTTCCATTATAGTACCACTCTTGAGTGACTACACCAGCATGGAGTTCAGCCAGAAAGCCCTGATGAGCCTGACAGTGAAGCTGCCTGCAAGAGCTTCTCATCCTTGTCTGGAAATGGAGTTAAGCAGTAAGCCAGCACAAACTGAGCATCAGGTTTTGTTTGCTCCCCAAGACTACCTGAAACAAAGTCAGGTAGTATTTTTGCCATCTGGACCAACTTTGATGGGACAAGTCAATTCGAAGTGAAGTATCTTCATAATTTCACGTACCATAAAAATCAAGTTCCAAAACCTCTGATGCTTGCATGGAGCCTTTAGGACAATGTAGGACAGTGACCTTGTGACAGTAGTTAGTCTCTACTTCAATAAGCTTCCTTAATAAAATAGATTGATTATATAATTAGATTAGCTATTTCATCACAGTAATTCTGTGGAAAGTCCTACAGTCTTCACACACCAAACTTTCAGGGAACTCTATGAAAAACCTTCCAGTAAGGTATGTCTTGCTAGGTGCTTAGTTCCAGGGCACTCAGGAAGCTATTTCAAGACTTCCTTCTGAGCAGATGTTGTTCTCATCATCAGGACAGTTAAACTGTGACCAGCTTAAGACCTGATTTTCAGATCCGTTAAGTTCTTCAGGGAAAATTTCAGCAAAAGTGTCGATGACACAAAGAAGCTAGTTGAAGCTGACCAAACAAAGGAGTGAAAAGCCTTGAATTTAGGAATAGAAAATTATGTATCCATGTAAAGCATTATTAAGTGCTTTACATGTTAGATTTTTACACCTTTATTCTTCATAGGTGAGTAGTGCTGTGTAAATGAAGATGATAATAAGTATCATTATTAGTACCATAGTTTTTACTTGCATTAAATTAAGGCTATTTCTTCCTACATTTGTCTACACATAGAAATCCATTCATGTTCTGTTATGAGATGTACTTGCCGATATGATTTCACACTGCATTCAGTGATGATATCTGTTGAACAGACTCCAAGAGCTGAATAGATAGTCCAGTTAGTTATCCCTCCAAAGCTTGTATAGAGGAGGAGTCACTGGAATGTAGGGGATAAAAGGGTCTTCCTTAATATGTTCTCTGTGTGACTCCATCATGTTTCTCCATGGTGCAAGGAGTCTGAATGGGTTTTCCAGCTTACAACAGCTTCTCACCTATGAATTCGGTAGGAGTTAATGGTTGGTAGTTATTGCAGAAGACCTATTTTATTGTTGTCATCTCTAGTTTACAGAGCATTTTATTAAAATTATTTTGCAGAGAAATAAATTAATCAAATGTACTGTAAGCACTGGAGGCTCCTTAGATGGACATCTTTTAAAATTCTCTCATTAAAAATGAAGGATAATTCACATTCACACAAATATTTTCATGCATATTAGGCAGTATGATTTATAGAATAGCCATGCTTACAAAAAAGCTCAAAGAAATTGCATATTCCCCACTTGATTGATATAGTGAGGACCCATAGCAAAACCTGGTTTATTCACTTTCCTTATTTATGTTCACTATCTCTTTATTTATATCTCTCTATGCCTGTTAGGACTGGGAGGAACCAAACTGTATTTCACTGTGGGTTTTGCATTGTTTTATCTTAGCAATTAAAACGCACTGTTTTGCCACAAAGCAATGTACCCTTACCACTCACGCTTGTTACTCTGCTCACTGAAAGAAGGGATAACAGCAGCACTCCCCAGACCACCTCAAAGGTTTGAGCAGTCTTTTAAATCTCTTTAATTTCAACCAGCTGAGTTTGCCTGATTTAGGACAACACAGATGATCCTGCTATTAACGGAGATGTTGCTACTTGGAATATCTAGTAGAGGTGCTGAAATGGAAAGCTGTTATGGACAATAAAGTCCTCAAATGATAATCAATCATTATCAAATAGTCATGTGATCACAGCCTAATTTTTCCATTTCCCAAATACAAGAAATAACCATGTGCCTTACCTATAATATTTCTTTCATTTCTGGTCAGAGCAATTTATTTTCCTGGTGCAGTTGGTACCTTCAATAACTTATTCATCCCTTTAAACATTGAATTCATTTTTTCTTTCTCTGCACCTACCAAACCAGTATAGATTATTATGTTATCTATAAAGTAAATAAGTAGAATCAAACCAATGGCTTGTGAGCAGTTTCAGTAGATGAAGCTGTCTTCATACATGAAACTCAAAAAACAGTCCAAACTTTTGACCTGGTGAGTATTGCTTCCATATTAGCCCTTGCCTGACATCTTGCTAAAGAAAATCCATTTATCAGGCCAGGAGAATTTCCCTAGATGTACACATGGACCTATTTGCCTCAGATAGAAGGGATGGATGTATTCTACTTTCAGTTATAAAGCTCACAGTGTATGTAATTCTTAATTGATCTAATTAGAGCAATACTTTGTATAATTGCTGTAAATATTTGTAAGATGGCTGTAAATTGTATATTTGTGAGAATGAGAGAGATACATGAAAAATCCTGGCATGGTGATTAGATATAAATGAAGAACTCATCCCATCATGATGTATCCTTTGAGAACAAAGAAAAAGCCTTTTATGTGGAGAGAAATAGAAGAGTACACTTGCTGAACAGTTTCGTTCAGCCAAAAAGGAGGCTTTGGTGGAATTATATACCTACTCATGGACACAGGCCTAGGAGATACATAGTGCTCAAATCTTCACATTAGGGAAAATTAAGGTTTTTGTGGTGTATGTTTGTTTGTTTGTTTGTATCTTTTATGGGGATTTTTAGTTCAGTTGGAAGAGACCTACAACGATCATCTAGTTCTACTGCCTGACCTCTTCAGGTAGTTTAAAAAAGTGTGCATATACAGATGTATAATGACTGCAGAAGCCTACCTCTACTAATAAATGTGTGAGATATTTCATGTCCTAAAGAACTGTTCAGGTAGTTTCAGTAGTGTTCTTAGCTTCAGTATTCTTAGTTTCACTACGTGTTATATCAGGAGTGAAACTGCAAATATGAAGGCTCAGGACCATAAAAGCCAATAAACTTTTAAGTATTTTTTAAATTTTTCCTTTCTCAGTCATCATAGCTCTAGATGACCACTGTTAGCATTACTGAGAATTTAGACATTATAAAAGCTTAGACACTTAACTGTAGGCCTGGAGGCACATAAGCATAGTGATTTATAGCATTGGGGTATTATGGGATATTATACTGCAGTGTTACAGTCGTTTGGCATTCTGTATTTATTTACTGAATGTAATATTTAGTTTCTAATATAGCCTCTAAAAACATGCACAGAGCAAAGTTAATACATACCTATTTTTTCTGGTATCTAGAGTAGAAGCTTTTTCTTGCATACTTTAATGTAGTATGGGGGATATGGGGGACAGGGTTTTTTTTTGGTTGGGGTTTTCTTTTTTTTTTCTTTTAGACTTAAGGTCAGACTACATGGCAGTACCTAGATAGCACTGAAAATGATCACAGTATTTCAGAGACAAGATGAACAGCTACTCAGCCTGAAACAGAAGATTAGAGCAACCACAATATTCCAGAGGATTTTTTTTCACTCTGTATTAACTACCAAACCCAATAATAATAGTATAATAGTTACAGAATATCTACAGATTCCCTAAAAAAACAAGCATTTGGGGTTCTTTGGCAACCTTAAAACTCACATTTATTGCACAATAGCATCTGCACTTGAGCAGAGTCCTCCTGAAAGCAGAGAGCACAGGAGCATCCTGTCAGTCTGAGTCAACTCCCAGCAGCAAAAATTGTAAAATAATGAAGCACTTTATTAAAGCCCTCTAGTTACAGAAGATACTTGTCTCAGAGCTCTTGACTCTGTGTCACAGGGTCTTGGTTTGGCTTTTTCTCTCTCTCTACTGCCTGAATTATGTTAACTCTGTCATGGTACTGCATTGATGGAATCTGTATGAACGTGGGTAATAAAACTCGGGACAGCTTGCTTCAGTCACTTCTGAGCACTGTTTACAAAAGACTGCTTCTAAGACAAATCAATCCATGCCAATGAGGGAGAATATTCTTATCCCCATATCTATAATCTGTTTTTATATCTACAGCAGAAGCACCAGCTTGATTAATAAAACCAAAAACAACCTACTGTGCTAGAGACAGTCATTCATATTGTCCATCCTCAGAAACCCCTTCAGAGCTTCATAGAATTATAGAATAGAATCACAGAATCATTTAGGTTGGAAAAGACCTTTAAGATCATCAAGTCTAATTGCAAACCTAGCACTGCCAAATCTGCCATTAAACCATGTCCCTAAATGCCATATCTACATGTCTTCTAAATACCTCCTGGGATGCTGACTCAGCCACTTCCCTGGGCAGTCTGTTCCAATGCTTGACAACACTTTTGGTGAAGGAATTTTTCCTAATATCCAGTCTAAACCTCCCCTGGCACAACTTGAGGCTGTTTCCTTTTGTCTTATCACTTGCTACTTGGGAAAGGAGACTGACACCCACCTTGCTACAACCTCCTTTCAGGTAATTGTAGAGAGCAATAACATCTCCCCTCAGCCTCCTTTTCTCTGGGCTAAACAAGCCCAAGTTCCCTCAGCTGCTCCTCATAAGACTTGTACTCTAACTTCCTTGCACAAAGCCTTCCCTAGACCAGGGCAGAAGCTTTACAGAAACAAGCAAACCAAGGAAGTAATCTGGATTTGTTGAAATGATAGACACAGGCAGAGCAAAGGAAAATCCTGAGGAATGATAGGCACAGCAATAGCCAGTGCTGCCAGGGAACGTGTAATGAAATGGGTTCAGGTCCTTACTGGAGACACTGGGGTCTAGTGAGGCTGGAGAGTAGTAGACATGTTACTTTACCTGAAAAGTTGTAGGTTGCAGCCAGTTTTTGATAAGATTACTATTATGGAAACCAGTAGCAGAACCATAAAGCTCATATGTATATTCTCTTTCACAAACAGTAACTGCTACTGTTGAATTTTGCTGGTAGTGGTTCAAGACAAGGTAGTCAGCTCTCAGCAACCTTCACCCTTCTTCTGAGTTACAATTAAATAACCATTCTGGCATTCATTTCAAGTGTATGTGTGATGGATGTGTTCAATCCCCTTAACCAAACTAGCAGTTATTTGGTACAGGCTTCATAGGAGGTGAAGGCCTGAGCCATAGCTGGGCTAAGAACTCATCTAGAAAACCCACAAAGGAGCAGAGTGTCACAGTGAGGATCAGTGTGTGCGAGCTTCGAACACTGATCATGTGATTAATGTATGAATAGCAGGTGACTTTTCTGAGACTCATTTATCAAAGAACAAAGGATGCTGTGG